CATCTACTAAAATAACATTTTGTGTGTATGTGTGTGTTTGATTAGTATTGATTAAAAAGTGAAAATAAAAACCTGTGAAGAGCTTGAAAGAAGTAGGGAGGCTTCTCTGTTTAATAACCCACCAAATCTCTGACTTGTTAAGGCTGTAAAGCCCTGGATCTATAATTATTGGTTTCCCTCTTTTGTTCCTACACATTTTGTTACATTATTAACTTTTTAACTAATATATTTATCCTTTTCCCATAATTTTTTCCTTACGAAACCAATATAGAATGTTTGGTTGGTAAACTTATGTAGAAAAAAGCTTTAAAACTTACAATTTCCAACCCAACCGGCTTGTGTGCTGTATGAAGTTGAGATCTCTAGGCAACTCAGAAAAAGCATAGATCAGATCTGCATTTATTTATCAAAATTAACAAATAGTAAAAAATTGCGACACGTATAAATTAAAAACTTGAGTTAAGTTGAAAAACAAGAGGCATATATAGAAATAATCAAAATACATAACCGGTTTCTTAACACCAATATCAACATCTAAACCTATCCTAACCAGTGCACATTCATGTATCACACAAACTGATCCTAACCATTGCATTCTGATCACAATTCCGGTTTTATATCGATCTTAACCGGTTCATTCACATATCACACAAATTAGATCCAATCTTTAATCAGCTACTAAATCTATTTTTTTCCAAATAAAGATGTCAAATTTATGAACCATGATCAATTCTAAAAAGCAAAATATAACGGTATACACTCACCGTACCGTCTTGTGTAACGAGAGGATAATCAGAAGCACTAAGATTAATAAACCAATCCCACCGACAACATCTCAAGAGCAAAGCCATTGCGTGAAGCGTCGTAGCAAGCATCGTAGGTCCTCTATAAGTGACAAGATTCGGTTTTCCGACCATCATTACATTACCCTCCGTCTGAAACAGAGGTTCTCCGGCGACGAACCTAGCCATCTCCAAATGCTCTTCCTCCGGCGCTTCGAGGTCTAGATGGATCAAATAGTGGTTTCTACGGTGGTAAAGAGATCGGAGGAGGCGTTTGAGTTTTCCGACGTCGCCTTTGGAAGCGGAGATTAGGTAGGCGAAACAGGGGAGGGTAGAGTTGTGGTTTTGGTTTGATTCGAGGGGTAAAATGGGGATTTTTGAAGAAGTAAAGAGAGTTGTGGTCGTGAGGATGAAGTATAGGAAGGAGTAGAGAAGAGATGTTAGAGAGAAAGAGATCATCAACAGTTTCTTGATGGACATTTTTGTCTCTCTGTGTAAATTTTCTTGGAATCTCTGTGGAGAAGAAGAGAGAGAGAGACTGTTGTGTGGTTTAATGACGGATTAGTTTGTTGAATCACAAAGATGCCCTTTTCTTTTGTTTTCTTTCTGTTTTTGACCCGTAAATTTAGGTATTGTGCTTGAAAGTACACAGATTCCGCCAAGACGCACGTAGTGCAGTGGTCGTTGTCGATCCACTCAGACTGGCACCTCAGGGGTTCGACCCCTTTCTTCTCCCTCTGGGAGACAAATAGCCTAGTGGGCCGGGCTTGTGGCCCACATGTCGACAAAAAAAGAAAGTACACAGATTCCATAAAATAACGTAGAAATCACAATATCAGATAAAACGTGTATTTTACTATAAACATAAACTTTATGCACTAAATCTGTTTCAAAAATTGGCATCGGAAGATATGGTACCAATAGTTTGAAAGATATTTTTCACCAAACTTGACATAAACACTGATCAACGTAACAAATTAAAGAAAACCCCGAATAAAAACTGCATTTGGTTCATTACCCAAAATATGCATTTACTAAACATGTAAAAATTGATTTGAAAAACAAATAAGCCCTAAATAGTAATACAATGATTTTAAAGTGCAGACAAATATAGATTGAGAGTTTAAGAAGATATAAAAAGGTTGTACGATTTGGGATCCTTGCTTTAAAGCTAAGTCCTGCATCTGTCCTATATCTCACATTCTTTCACATGTTTTAGATCTTCGAACTCGCAGTCACGTGGTAAAGATTTTGGACTTTAACAGGATATATTTGTAAATTCCAGTGACCTGATAAATGAAAGTACAGTTGGTAGATTTGGTGGATGATGTCAAAATGTGTACGATTGTGATTTTTTTGGTTATTAATTAAATATTTCAAAGATGTCAATATAGAACCGAGTATTTTCTTGCATGTACTCTGGTTTGTTCGGGTTTGGTTAACCGGAGAAAATCTCTTTTCAGCTCTCACGAAACAAAAATGAAATAACATGTCCGGTAGAGGTCCAATAAGGCCCATGTACTATTGCTTTCTTAAGAACCAAAAAGTTTATATTGGACCTTGT